CTCCACGGTTTTTAAAATAATTTATTCGCGTTTGCTTTTTTTTTTTTTTTTTTTCACACATTTTCTACCGAACGCTATTATTATATGTATATAATATTCTTTTTCCGATTAAGATGTTAATTCGATTATTACGCTCGTAATAACGTGTCCGTATTGGCATTTTAACATTTAACGTATTAACTTCGAATTTGCAAATTAAAAAAAAAAAAAAAAAAGAAGAAAATTGTAAATATAAATAAAACAAAAATAAAAACAACCATTTCTAATATATAATATACATTTTTTTTTTTTGTTTGTCGTCTCGTCTGTTATTAACAAATTGGGTTTTGGATTTTTCGCTATTTTTTTTATTTTTTTTTTATAGATGTGGCCACTCGAGGTGAACTACGGATTCTTCAAGACGACCCTTATAATTTATAAAAACCTATACTATTTATCTATATATCTATATTATACCTATACTTAAATGAAAAAAAAAAAAAAAAAAAAAAAAAAATTATTACCTAATCTTATATATGTGTGGGCCACACATTCCTAACTGTATAAACGCGTACCGTCGCCCCGGCAAAAGCCGAAACGTGTCCGAAAAGTCGATTTTGCCCGATGTCCGAAAAATATACACACTGGGTGTAACTGGTCTGTTTGACGTTTTCACATGCGAGACTACAATGTAAAAATTGTCAAACAGTCCTGCGTTACGCCGCGTACGGGGGGACAGTGGCGATAATGTCGAAATCGTACCGAACGGATGCGATCGCGCGTTGTCGATTGTCGTGTCGACCACGCGTTCCGTCCGGACGTCGGTCGCGAAATCCTGCACTTTTCGGCACACGCGGCTGTTTCGGACGGTGCGCATTTATCAGCGTGCGCCGCGATTGAAACGTCCCGGCGGGGCCCGTCGCACGATATAAAACGAACGGAACACGGCGGCGAACACCGCAGGGCCGCATACTCGGACCGGCAATCCCGGGGCCCGGGCTCACTCGGAGGACATTAAAAATAGATAAAAAAAAAAAAAAAAAATAAATAAATAACAATAAGAGGCCCGGCGGAGCTACGGAGTACGGCCCCGAGTGCGGTCGGTTCGCGACGTAACCGTGACGGCGTTTCGCCGTTTCGCCGCTGTTGTTTTCCGTTGGTTTCGGTTCGAATCCGTTTTATCGCGGACGCGCCGAACCGTGTGTGGGTGTGCGGCTTTTTCTTTTTTTTTTTTTTTTTTTCCCTCACTTTATACATTATCATCTTCTCTATACATATACGCGTATAATTATTTATTCGGCTAAAATAAAAATAAAACCAAATAATGCGTCGAAAAACGATTAACGAAAAGAAATCGGTTCACGGAACTATTCAACTGTTGTTACGATGTCGATTGTTATACACATACATATATATTTTTTTTTTTTTTACCGATTGACAACGGCGCGTGGCCGCACCGCGCCGAATGCGGCGGTCGCCTGTTTGTCGTTAACACGTTTTAATACGTCGCATTATAATAAAATACCGCGCGGTTTCGGGTCCGGAATACCTATACAACACGCGCCGGGGCCTATTATTTTATTATTGTCTTGTATAAATGTCTTTACAACTATTATTATTATTATTATTATATATATTATGAATGATCTCTCTCTTTTAGAAAAAAAAAAAAAATAAAAAATATAATAATAATAATATGGATTATATTATATCGTACACGTGCGTTAGCCATCACGCATCATTACTATTAATATTTATTTATATATATATATATATATATACATACACTCGTGTATACAATATACACATATATATATATATATATATATATATATACATACATTATATTATCAAAACGTTATTTCTTCGATATGTTTTTTTTTTTTTCTCTCTTAGTTTATAGTATTTTTTAAAACTTTTTTTTTTTTTCTGCTATTTTTCGGACTTTTTTTTTTTTTTTGTTATTATTGGTTTTTATTTTTTCAATACAGATCAACCCATAGTCCGAAATACAGAGCTGGGTACGCATTGCAGCTTTGAAAAAAAAAAAAAAAAAAAAAAAAAAAATATTAAATTGTGATATGCCAAATTGTTGGCAAATATTATAATACATTCGATCAACGCGAATTATTATATTATTTTATAATATTATATGTATATTATTATTATGTACTTACTTATTTATCATTATTTTTATTATTATTATGTATCATTGTAGATAGACATTATATCGTATTATATTATTGTATAACATATATGCATATTATAACGTAGTTTGTACGCATTAGTTTTTTTTTTATATTAATCCGTCACAATAAACCGTACGTTACGCGTCGATCAGACACTGTAACACAAATACCGTTGCATTGTAATATCACGCACGTTTCTCGAGCAGGACTGGTCCGTTTATTGTTTTTTCCGCGTTTCCCTCCTCCCCCCCCCCACAAGTTTTTCGCCTTTCGAGTTTTGAACGAGGTTCGTGACGGTTTTAAACGTCCAACTTGCGTTCGATCGTCGGCGTATGAATGTGTCGAGAGAGAAAAAAAAAAAAATTCCGTATTATTTTTCAATAATATCGTATCGTGACATTATGCCGTCGGTAATGATTTAATATCGCGCGCGCGACAACTTCACAGCGATCATGTGCACGCGCCTACGCCGATACGCAATATGTACCCTACGCCTGTTAATCGTAATGTTATATGATTTTTTTTAGCGCTAAGCGCACTTAAATTTATTTATCGAGAACCCGGCCGATTCGTTTGATGTTTCGGGCGGTTTACTAGTAAAATAACTCCTTAAGTACGTTGAAGAAGTACGCAGTACATATTGTATAGAGTTTTTTTTTTTTCCTTTTTTTTTTTTTTGTTCTCTAATGGAATGTTCCTCGATAAATTTCTTATTTGAAATTCGTAAGTTTGGCAAATTACAATATAAGAGATTTTAATTATTATTATTGTTTACTATTATATTTTTTTTTTTGAAAATGTCCCCCCTATCTATATATAAGAAAAGCGGGACTAGCCTGCGTAAAAAAAAAAAAAAAAAAAACTTACCATTTAATACACGCGAAAACATAATGTTACTTATTATTGTTTTTTTTTTTTTAAACATAATATTATATAATATTTTTCGATTTATGTCAGTTTGTATAATATTCATATACATATATATAACAGAATATACGAATTGATATTATTTCGAATTTTGTAAATATGTAACCAGTTATATAATATAAATATATTGTTAGACATTATTAGATATTTTAAAGTTTTAATCTTTGTCTGTATCATAATAATTACGTGTTGACATTAAAATAAAAATATATTATTTATTTGTAAATGATAAACTGCAATACTACAATGTCTGTTTTTGTTCAAACATTTTTTGTTTAAAAAACGTCAGAACGTTTTTTAAAAAAAAATTTAGGCGTCTATACGACAACAACAACAACAAAAAAAAAAAAAACGAAACAATTTTTGGCTTTCGAAAATCAAAAACAAACAAGATAAAAATTTTCTTTCAGAGAAAACGCCAAACTTGAGAATTGAAGCAATATTCCTGGTAAAATATTGTTAACGTCTGTTATACAAACAGACAAAACAGAAAAGAAAAGCTGATATTGTTGTTGAGTTGTTGCTGCTGATTATTTTCGTATAATTATAGGTGGGAATTTAATTTTTATCTGAAAACAACGGTAAACCATTGTTAACGAAAAACGATTTTGATCGTAGTTCCTTTATACATGATCTGAAAGGCCGTAATACGTACTATTTACTATTTATCAAAATTTGAACTAAAAAATGCTCATTACTACAATACGCTCAATATATTTTTTGACAACTAAGTACAACTATTATAATCTTGTTAAATTTTCAAGTTAGGTCAAACAATGATATTCACACAATACCTACTAAATAAAAAATATCCTCAAATATAAAATGCCTATAAATAGCTCAAAAATCGCCAAAATATGTTTAGAAATGGAAAATATCAATCGCAACAAAAAAAACAAATTAAAAATAATAAAACTATTATTTTTGTAAACTTTCCCGTTCTTTTTAGGGTTTTGCTCAATTATTAAAAAAACTACCAAGATTAAAAGACTTATTTACTATAATAACTAAATTAAAAATGCAACAAAAAAGGTAACTTGTCAATTAGTCAATTAGAGAAATATTTCTGGTAGAAAACATAGAGTTTAAAGATTTAAACGAATGAGAACGTAAATTTATTTACATTAAATATTATGAAATCTTAATGAAGTCAAAAAATGTCATCATTGTAAATATACATCAACTAGATAACATTTCCTTTCAGAGACAGTGTTACACTTAATACATCAGAGCAAGTTTTCCATTCGAAAAGTTGTTCACAGGTACGTATAAAAAAAATTATATACCATCGTAAAACCGATAGGTCTCGCAACGTTTTAAATCTAAAACAATATAAATAAAAAATTGAGTTGATACTGTAATGTTGAATTTTCCACTTTGGTATGTAGGTGAGAATTCGGAAGGTAAGAATATAAAAATATTTCATTTACATTTGTACGTAACGATAAATCGTTGCTAGCGAAATACGATTGTGAGCAAATTTTGGTTAAGTAAATTTTGAAATGTCTTGATTTTAACGATTTTCGTCAAAATTATTGAACTTAAAAAAGACTTCAATAATTTTTTAACTTAAAAAAGACTTATAAAAATAGCCACTACAATACGCTCAAATTTTTTTAACCACTAAGTTAATATTATGAATCTCGTATACAATTTTCAAACATTTCTGCTCGGCAATATTTTACCAAATAAAAACTAATAAACTAAACAAATTCGTAAATTCTAAAGATAGTCATAATAAATCGCTAGAACGTTGTAAAAATCACGTTTAGTGGTTAAAATTCAAATTTGTACGATTATTTTTAACTCATTAACAATAAAAACAAAAATAGTAGTATTGCCGTAAACTCTCCCAATGTTTCATATAAATTTAGAAGATATATATCCGTCTATATAAATCATAGACAAAATGTGTTATCAGTAACCACATTCGATGATATTTCTGGTAGAAAAAGTCGTATACGGACAGAAAATGAAAAAAAAAAAAGCACACGAATCGTATAATAAAACAAATATTTGTTCTATTAAGTTTTTTTAGTGTTTTGTCACAATCGAGCAGCTAGAGATTTTGTTTTCTATTGTATTACAATTTGCAATGCAACACTATAAGAATACACTACAATTTCAACACTCTATTATCATATTATTATGTTATCAAATTTAAATAAGTACATAATAATACAATATTGCAGCAATATAGAGTACAGTACTAGTGGCTATTCCTACTTTATTCTAGCTGAGGCACCAAATGTCTATAGGCAATAGGAACATAAATAAATAATTTATAGCTATACTACATTTTTTTAAATTTCAATTGTGTAAACATATTGCTTTGTGCAAATATATCAATAATGGTATCGGTACCAATACATTTAGACAAGTTTTTTTAAATGTACAAAATTGTAGGGTTGTTGAACCGCTCTTGCAAGATACAAGTTCGAAGCCAAGTTTTTTATTCGACGCATGGCCGAAAAACTCCTTTTACAAGTGGATGCGGAACTTATGGGTCTTGTTATAGCAACTTTAAATAATTTATAAAAATTTGGGAAAACCTTATTTGATAAGACCTTTTTCACGTCATTTAAAGTTATATACTTTTCATCAGTAGATTGCAATATATAATACTTTGTCACTGCTATTTCTGATTTAAATACCTTTTTAAATACATTCATCAAATCCTGAAAAAAAAAAATTTAATATACAGGTTTACTTTTAATAAAACTAGGAAACTAGAGAGTAAACAAAAATTAACTTAAACAGAAACCTATACTTAGTTTATAATGATTTACAAAGAAAACACTTTCCTCGAAGTATAGCTGAAAAAATTGATCAACAGCTGTGGCCATTAGAAGGCTTACCATGAAGATCTGATTGATTACGTTCCGGGGGGGGAGGGGATGTTCAGCCCTCTTCCGAAGCACCCCTCCCCCTCCCAATATCCGCCTATGGTCATCATCATGTAATATCGTCTCGTTTGCCCGCCACGCCGAAATCTGTGTTGCAATGGAAAAATAAAAAAAAAAATGTACGGCGTTACACTCTACGTAAAATATTCTTTAAATTTTTAACTACACATAAAAAAAAAAAAAAAAATTCGAAAAAAAAAAAGTCAAATATTGCGTACAATATATAACGGCGTTATAATTAGTTATGGTACGCGTTTCGAAGAACATCAAAGCCCGCGTGCACAGGAAATATTATATTGATACAATAACAGTATAATATAATCGTGTACAATAAAGCTATACAATATACACCTAAGTGGTTTTCACGGGTATATATATATATATATACACATTTTATAATATTGTATATATTATATCCGCGCGGCGGTTGTGTACGTCTGTATTGTATTATTGCGTCGCTTGTTGTTTACTAAACATTGTACACTACAAAATGTATACAAATAGACGAGTACATATAACAATAACAATTTCACGTGAACCAACTCTGGATGTGTGTACAGTTAATAATTATATAGGTACCTGTGTACGGTGTAAACGAATTGTACCAGCAATATACGTCTTGTTGTTGTTTGCTCTAAGTAAAAAAACAAAAAAAAAAAAAAAAAAAAAAAACAACAGACGCCGTCACATATTCACGTCGTCCCAAAGCTTTTAATACATAATATAAATATACCGTCAGCCGTTAATTATTCATTAAGTTTTTTAGAGCGTGCACACGTGATATGCTGTACGGTTGTGTAGACATCTTACAAGAGGGCATGGTACGGCGGGCGGGTCGTTAGAGAATTGATAAAAACTTGTAGGTTTGAAAAAAAAAAAAAAATACGCGTCTACGTACGAGCGATCCGAACGTATGCGCGGGCAGGCACACACGAAAAAGTTCGTATAATATTTATTATGTATTTACCGATGAAAATTATCTCTTCATTAATATTCATAATATACACATTACACGCATACGGGCACCGTGAGAATATCCGTCAGACCGAGTTTCCATCGAACGTACGCCACGTCCAACGATTCGACAATGATATAATATTGGTAATACATCCCGTTCAATATTTGAACAATCATTATCGCCTTTTACACCTAACAGAAACTCGGGACGGAATATTTCCCGCGGGCATTCGACTTCTGTGTACACGATTGTAACGGAATTACTAAACACCTCACCCGGCCAACGGGACGACGACGCGCGGATTCGCAAAACAGAAACGCAATGAACTACACGCACAGGTGTTGTATATTCGTTCGAATAGAGATTTTGGTGGTCGAAAACTTAACAAAATAAATAACGCGAGCAGTTGAACGGATACCGGACAAACAGATGACTTGTGACAACTGTTGCGGCGAATCCCGCGAATAAATTCCATCTGTTGAGTTTTCACCGACGTATTTTGGTTCTAACGTTTTTTTTCATAAAATTCTCTTTTTCGGGCTCATTTTCTTTGAATAATGTTGTTTCAACTTTTTTTTTCACATTTTGTATTTTTATATCTAATATACGTACTCTATGCTCACGCCTAATTGCCTTTCCGTTATTGGGTTCAATCTCGAGGAGTAAATTGTCCAGTGTTACGAAACACTAAAGTTAAATTATTCATAGACACGTATACAGCCGCCGTGTTATTTTACGTCACAACACGACTATGTTGATTACGATATGGAATTTTTCTTGAACATAATCAATCTAAATATGTTGTATATTTTGAACAAGTGTTTTTGTTGGCCCGCCAGTATACCAAGGGGCTCTGCGATAAAACTATAAAACCATACAGTTTAGATTGTGCGCGTACCACCTGCAGTTTCCATTTTATCTTTTCTTATTTTCAGCCTTTCAGATCGGCCAAGATCCATATTCTAGGTTTTACAGTTATTTTTTGAACAAACTTTGGTTCCGATCCCTCTTTACCACAAAAAAAATCAAATCGTATTCTCTCTCTTTCTTCCGGTAGAATTAAAACTAAAATCATATCGCGTAAGTTCATCGCAGTCACCAAAAGAGTAATTTGTACATTTTTCTTTTCCTCAATGATATCATCGTCGGCAAACTAAATCTTCCGCAATTCGTTCAAGGTATGTCAGAACTTCTGTTCGTTCATGGTTTAATTAGTTTGACAAGTTTTTCCACCAAATTTTTAAATCTATCTTCATGCTGAGAAGCTCCATTGCCACTGATTTTGTTCGGAAACTTCGAAAAAAGTTTTTTTGGTCATATTCTATTTTGGACTTATACCCGTGGTTTAAATTTTTTTTTTACGGATTTC